CTTCTTCTTCTTCTTCTTCTTCTTCTTCTTCTTCTTCTTCTTCTTCTTCTTCTTCTTGGTTTTCCACAAAATAAGCAGCTCCACTACCTACTGAGATTTTGAAAATAGCAGGACAGTTCAGACTCATGCTGTAAGTGAAATATACGGGCCTTTGAATACATATAGTTCAAAGCATAAGTGATTTTTAAAAAAAAATATTTAATGAAAATGTTTACAAAATAATAACTAGGGTATATAAAGCTTTTGGTGGCAGAACATGATTACTGTGGAGCTCTGTGCCACAGGAGATAAAGTGGGCCTCCTTGTAATGTTTAATTAATTGGATGGTGGAGCAAATACTTGACTCCACACTTCTTCATACTGTGACTCATTAGCAGCTTGGAGTCATGACAGTCTATTGTAAACAAAGGTTTGGCTGCAGGAACCTGATGGGCAGTCAGGGTTATGTGTTCAGTGGCTGACTCTGGATCCCAGCATATGTCATCAATGAGAGTGAAGGGACAGGAGTTCCATGCAACAGTTGGGGAAGGGGAACCAACCTATATTCAGCTGCTGAATATGCAAAAGGAGAAAGAAAGGAGACAGTAGAGGACAGAGATCCAGACCACACTGAGCTGACTGTGGCAAATCTCCAGTCACATACCCAGAAAAAAAGCATAGGAAAATCCTGAAGGACTCTCCTCCTTCCAAAACAATCCTCCATGTCCATGTCTGCGAACCTCTGCAACATTCCAATTTTTTTACCATCTCTGAGCCAAACAAATACAACATTTCAGTGCCACCTTAAAAGAAACAGATGGTTGATTGAAGAAATTGGCATATCAACTTGCAACACAGTTATTCAAATTCAGTTCCAGAAAGGAGCTTAGAATTGGCAGGCAGGGCTAGGGAGGTTGGGGTCAACACAGGACCTCTCTGCAACTTGGGATCATGTGCCAGCTGTCTATGGTGGCCATATGACCCTGTGAAAAGTTACAGCTTCTTTACAGTTGGGTGTTATGTTTATGGTACAGTGCCCTCTAAAGCACCTTTTCCAAATGATTTCGAAAGTGCTGCAGAATCCTAGTATACAATGTAATATGAGACGTGAACAATATGTATGTAGATTGCTGTATGCAACTGCACTCCCTTTGAACATGCTTCTTTCCCTTCCAATTGTGTCACTCCATAGGAGTTTCTGTTGGTCATTCACTGAATATAGGAACTCCTTAACCTTCCTAAAATTAGGAATCACATCCTACATTTAAATTGCATGAATCTTCAATTAAAAGTGATTTATTTCTTCTTAATCATTCTCTAATAGCCTTCAGGTAAGCATCAATGCTGATTTTTCCACTTGCTGTTTAGAGAACAAGATGGTAACTTGCCAAAAGAGGATCCTGATTTGCTAACTTTAAGCTCTGGAGTTTGGTCCTTTAGGGATCTTGTTCCCCAGGGTTTGTGTATTGCATGGCGATGAAATGGCTTCATTTTTATAAACTGTTTATAAGCAGAAAAAATATATACTATATCTATGCATAAAAATGATAACACATTTTGTATTTTGGCTACCATTTCAAAATATATCAAATATATGCATACTACTTCTCTTATACTTCCATTTTTATATGCCCTGTTTGGGTATGCTTTTCCATTCATACTTCTGACTGCCCTCTTGAAGAACTAGGCAGTTTCAGATACAGGGATTTCATCAAGGTAAGTAGAGTCATGCTGCTGAATTACTATATGGGATAATTTCATTTTAGTAGAAAGGATGAAGTGGGCTTTAATTGAGTCTACCTGTTCTTTTTTAAATATCAGAAAATGCGCACAATATTTTCACATGGATTCTGCTTTATGAATTTTTTATTTTTTAATGAA